AAATACCTATTTACTCGAAGATATTTGTGTTAGTATCACTCTTACTTTCCATACATTTCGGATAGTTTGAGGCCAACTTTATGTTGCAATTAATATTTTATTGTAAATCAAAATTTTACATTGTACTAACCTATACACTTTGCGATGTTTTCGAAAATTATTGCTGCCGGGTACATATGACACAGCATGACTAATAAACTTTTTCAATAAGGAGTGAAAACCTTAATTATAATTTGTTAGTGAAATTACAATGAAATGCTTCATACTAAAAATATTTTGATTAATAATTATTCTAATTCATTATTATTCTAAAAGCGTTTGCGAAATGAAATTCATGTATTTAACTAAACCGCACTTTGATTTACACCTGTCTGTAAGTACACATACATAATTTTTTTGTTTTTTTTTTTTTCACGGAAAAACGGAGGTATATTAATTTAGTCATTGTTTCTTGTAGCTTCAATATACGTCTGTTTTTTTTTCGTCCGGAAATATGGCATGCATACATAAATAGTAGGATAACATTTGTGCCTATTTTTGGCACTTCATTTTACGTAATAAAAATTAAATGTTTATTTGTGATGTTTCGAAGGGAACAATTGCGCAGTAAATAGGTGTAATAGAATTTGGGGAAGACCTGTGGACTTTCTTTTACGATAATTTACATGAAATTTAACATAATTCTGAGAAAAATTCTAACCTCTTACGAATAATATGGAAATTTTAATTCGTTTAGGTAGATTGTCTTTTCCCAATTAGTTATTTGGGCCATTGCCATTGCCACGTGATGGTATATATCTGTTCAGAAATAAAAAAATATATATATATTTTTGAAAGCTTTGCTTTCTATATACTCTCCAAACTTAACGTAGTGCTCTTGCTTACGTTTCCTATTCTTTGTTTTTAGTTTTTTTAAGAAAATTTATAAATATTAAAATACATTTTTTGTTTACTCATTATCATAATCATATGGCTCGCTATCCGACACACCCATAGGGAAGAATATTAATCTTTTTTTATTGGAAAATCATTTTTGAAATATTAATGAATTTCGCAGACAACAATTAATTAATCCATAGAAACCGGTACAATTTAAGGAACGCTTTCAGTTCCCACATCAAGACTAATTATATAATCGTGTCGAACAAAAAAAAAAAAAAAAAAAAACACGTCAAAAATGAGTCATTTATGTAAAATTGATTTAATTGCAAATTGTATTTTAAAAATGATTTAAAATAAAACCATGTGATCAATTAGGTCACCTGATGAACTATTATGTTTGCTTTATTATTTCACAAAATAAATTACTTGCATATTTACTGGACGTATGCAGGCAATTTGTTCATCTGGCCATCTTTTTGTTAACACGCATTTCTTATTACATTTTCGTAAAGATGTCATGCGCTTAGTAACAGGTTTGTCAACCGTAGTAGATTTCCGACAGACCAGCATTTTATTTTTTTAATACATTTTTGTGGTTTACTTGTTGTTAATAACAATAACATGTGTATTTATATAACTAAATATCTCGTTGTAGTTTAATTCACACAAGCCTAGGTCAATAAAGTTGTTAATTGGAAACAAAGTTGTTTTTGTTGTTGTATATAGATACCTATATGTTTGTAAACTTTTAAGTGATCGCATACTATATGCGTTTAATAAATTTAATAAACAATTTGGTGCTGTAAACTTATGTTAGCAGAATATCAGGGACAATGCTTATCTAACGAATGATAGGACAAATTATGTTAAAAGAAATAATTGAGAAAATTCAAATTAGATTCAGCTTGTATCGAATATTTTATGGCTTACGTGAAATGAGAATGAAATTTAGCAGCAATATATGGCAATAAACACCAATAAAGTATAATCCAATAAGTTTTTTGACCATATGCGCAGTGTTAATATGACCCGTCAGCGACTTTGTATAAAAATTGGTGTTTAAAATAAACGCTATTTTTAAAGAGGAGCAGCTTAAAACCTGTGCGTGCTCTTAAGGGGAAAGCTTACTCCATGTAATTTATAAGGATAGAATGCTTTTTATAAACCAGTGATTTAAAAATGTTCCGTAGGGCTTCGAAGTTGCTCCATGTTAGAAATTTGTAAGGATAGAATGCTTTTTATAAACCTGTGATTAAAAATGTTCCGTAGGGCTTCGAAGTTGCTCCATGTTAGAAATTTGTAAGGATAGAATGCTTTTTATAAACCTGTGATTAAAAATGTTCCGTAGGGCTTCAAAGTTGTTTATCAAGATGGCGATTAATTACATTTAGAGTGTATATATGACTGTGTACGACGAACAAATGTTTATGTGAAGTTGCAAAGTCTTGGATGCAAAGTCGGAGTCAAAATTCTGAAGCGGATTAGAGGGAAGTATAGTCATTTTGAAAAATTCCGTTTGGAACATCCGTAACAAGAACAACATCGAGAAAAAATTTCGAATCAAAATATAAAGGCGTAAAATCGATTTTAAACAGTGTTCTCTGGCGATAGTAGAAAGTCGGTCTTACCACCATTATTCTACATTGTGAGAAAAACTAGAAATTAAACTCACGCTCGTGTTTAACTTTGAAGCAGTCTTCTTTAAAGCTATTGTTTAAATTCATTCAACTTGGACTTTGAATCGAAAAAGTCGTAATAGATTAGCGTTACTCAAGCTTTGTAGATAATATTCATCATATCTGAGTTACCATCTGAATTTTGTCTATTCTTAATGTCCAAAGCTGTTTCTACATGATACATCAAATGGACGCTATATGACGTAGATGTAAATGTCCACTAGCTGCTAGAACCGCAAAGGTGGAAGAGATTATACGGCCAAACATAGCAAAATATATTTTGGACCAATATCATTGAGAAAATGTTTCTTATACTTAGTGGCCACGAAGTGCTGTCGATAGGAGAGATAAAAAAAGGAAATAGTATTTGCGGAAGTTCGGTTTGAAGGTGAAAACATAAGAGGAGGTTGAAGAGGCGATTGCAGATGGGTTGTTCCAGAGCCGGGTGATGCTTTGAAGAGCGAGGAGTCGCGGTACTCTGCCGTGCGCTATAGGGTCAATTTCAGTATGAGTAGTTGAAAACGCAAGGCTTTTCTTAAATCGGTTAAGGGTAAATAATAATGTAAATTGAATAAGCTTAATTTTTAGGTTAAATCATAAATTCACAGCGAAATATTCAAGACGGGAACAATTTACGGGATGAAGGCTTAGCTTTCTTAAGAAAGGTTATGCGAAAGAGGACTCAAACAATTGCCCCATTCGTTTTAAATTTTTGGCAATAGAATGCCGAAAGCCTATTATTCAGTTATTTTGGTTCAGACATTTTGAAAAATGCAATCTTTTTCGTATTTCAAAGTCAGAGATTATTTTTTTCTGAACGTATTCAAGGAATCATCAAAGGATTTCAAAGTTAGCAGTAACGCATTCCAATATCGAGCTGGACGGACGATAAAAGGTCGTTCAGCCGAAGAAGTGGAAATACTTAGCGTTAATATAAAACGGCTCCTATTTGATCGTCCAAAATGTAATGACTCTCATGAGAGATTGGTCGATTGACTTCGAAAGAATTTGTAGAGGTAGACTAGCAATGTAAACATTAGCTATTTGAGAAAGATATGAATTTTGCATAAGTATCTAATTATGTGTGGTTGAAAGGAAGCACGCACTGCGAACATGTAAAGCATTTTGAAAATGCCGTCTGAACGACAACTAACAAGTCAAACTAGGTAACGCGCTTGAGGCGAGGACATAATTTATACGCAGAGAGATTCGAAAAATGATTTTGCTCCGTCACAAAGTCAGTCCGTCTGCAACAAAAGCAACCAAGGAGATCATTTTCAAGTCATTGATGCACTTCTTCCTTACGCGGCTTGCTCTCCAGTTATGGTTTCTTCTGATTACCACTTGTTCAGATTGACATAGTCATATTGAGTAGACTCCGAAAGCTGAGCACGGGTGAAAACCGCTCGATTACCTTGCTTCGAAACCTCCAATTCATTCGTAAGCTAACCGATAAGTGCTAAAGAACTATATGTTGATGGTGAATATTTCAAGTGTTAACCTTTGGAAGACATAGAATTTAGATAAATTTGAACTTTGTCGAAAAATGCAGTCATTACAACTTTTGATATGTATTTCTTAGTTTCTATTACATCTTTTTTGGTGTGAACACATCATCCAGTGATGGTACAACGGAATAAAGCACAAAAGAAACTTTTCCTGTGATCTTAAAGACAAGCTGTTAAGGACCTAATCCATAATTCATCATTAAATTTATACGCAACAAGTTTCTGTTCAATATTTGTTTGGCCGGAATTCTAATAAGATATCTATTGAATATGTTTCTGGAGCACTTAAAGACAACTTGAAACGCATAATATTAATATCGTTCTACAACTGCAATATAACCGACTGCTACAGTCTATACTATCCAACGCTATGGAAATGAGTTTGTAGCTATTTTTACTATGATAGGTATAGTAACTCGCCCTTATTATAGCATTTTTTTTTATATATATATTTTTTTTTAGTTTAAACTTAAGCAACAAAGTAATTTTATTAGTTAAGTTAGTGCCGATTTCTAACTTTAACAACAATCGCATTTAGAAATGCATGTAAACGTAAAAAGTATCGTGTGTGGTCGAGCTCAACCTGTAGTGTACCTTAGTTAAATTGCTTTAACGATTGTCATTGTGTAAGCAAGGTATTAATTTATATATTTATCTCTCCCGTACTTTGACGCTTAAAAAAGTAGCGCTAATTTCGATTAACTCATATTGAAACAACTCACTGACTAACTGATAGACAACGCTGACTGTCAACGCCTGACGTTGTTGGTGTTACAAATTTGAATTTGTTTTTGTGTGAATTTTTTTGTTTTATTTTTTTATTTATTTTAATGGCATACATACGTAATTTTCCTTTTCTCATAGCGTAAACACAAAGATTCTTAATGAAAAAATTTATATTCGAAAAAAGTTTGTTTTGGAACGTATATGCAGTCAGTAGTGTTTGAAACGCGTTACAATACGTTTCGATGTGAAAGTGATGAATCAAATGAAATTAGAAATAAAATTAGCTGCACATTGTTAGGGATAAATCTAATAAAGATATTTTTAAATTCGTTAAATATCAGGAAAGTGGAGAAAAATAAAAATAGAAAAATTTTAATATACAAGCATTCTAAAAGGGTACAAAAAATTATATGGAGATATCAGCCAAGTTAATGTTACCGAAAGTGAATTTTGAACTTTATTCGATTTGATGTATGCATTTTAAGCAAATAGTACTGCGAACATAGAAGTTAATAGTTCATGTTAATCAGTATAATGGACTGAGAGTAATTAACCTTTGAGTTGTAAGCCGCTATACGAGATACAACTCTCGAAACTTTCTTTGTGCTGTAGCGGTTTTTTAAGCTCTGCAACGCTTTTCAGCCGGTAGCGAATTCATTTTTAAGTCCTCACTTTCAAGAACAGACGGCTTAATTAAAAGTTTGCCTCAGGTTGCTCGCTTCAAAAAGACTTTCAAGAGGGAAATCATTGAAAACGTTGGAAAACGTTAGCCGCTAATAATATGTTTTTAAGAACTTATACATGTGGATTGTAGAAAATATTGAAAACGAACCCTAAAGGATTTGAAGCCAGCAATCGATGAGGAGAGCATCGTTAAAAACAAAACAAGCTTCGACCAAACGTAAGGGAGGGAACGCTAACTGCTCTTAAGAATCAGTTTGGGACGTATTGGCTGGTGCTTTAGACAAGAAAACCTCTATTCTTTTGCTGAGGCTAAACTTTTTTTCAAAAAGGCAGCCAAAAAAAGCGCTAGAAGATTTAATGTCTTTGATAAAGCATCGTTGTCAATATGATTGTTTCCTTTTCCCAAATAATTGCTATTACAGCTTCGCAAAGAATTAACTTAACCGATTGAAGACATGGACGGAAATTTTTAGGATAAATTAAAATCAAATCGGAAAACTAGCCGATGATTGGATTAATTACATAGCTAATTCACTGCTTTTAATAGAGACTACATTTACGGCCACCAGAGACATCCCGATACTCTCCTTAATAATGTACATATAAAAATATATAAAAATTTTAAAAAGATCCATTAAATTTTGGAAAATTATTATTTATTTAATTTCTAAAAACGTAAACGATAAAAAAAGAAATATATTTATAATGGTTGCGAATATTTTTGGGTTTGAGTTGTGATTATGTTTTGAAGGTCTCCACAAGGTTTTCTTCAATTGAATAATACTTTTTTAAAAAAATTTTTTCGTGTTTTGTTTATCGCATACAAGTTTTTCACACAAAAGAAATTTAACGTTAATTTTGGAAACAAAGAGGAGAGGTTACCACAAGAAATAATGAAATAACTAATAAAAGGAGAGAAAAACTAAAGCATAGAAACTTTTTAATTTTATGAAAATTTTATTAAAAAAAAACTAAAAAAAAAAAGTATTTTACTCGTAAAAAAGTTAAACGCCATGACTTGCTGCCGCATTATGTTAATCTTATGCTTTTTACCGTTTTTCTGCGACCCCATCTGGTCATTTGCTCAACTGGATTTACCTCCTTATGTGCAACAAATTACACCGAAACCAGAAATATATTACAATGGTGATAAAGTGACTACGCCTTTACAGACGCTCGGTGATGTTGATAGAGACCGAAGATTTGGCCCACCCTATGATGAAAAAAACAGTGAAGATGGTAGCGATGACTTTAGGGTAACGTTATAATAAAGGACTCATTGTAGGCAATTAAAAATGTTTAAATGATCATTTTCTATTTTTAGAATGGTCAAACCTATGATGAAAAAATGCGTTATGGCTTCTACGGGGAACCATTTAGATCTTATAATTCGAATTTTGTTGGTGGCGATTCTCCATTTAGCGATAAAAGTTTGTTCGACAGCAATCGTAATCATAACAATGATCAACATCGCTTTAGTAATCATAATTATGATAACAATCCGTTCAATTATAATAACAATCGTTATCGCAATAATAATAACAATAATAACAACGATAATTTAATACCACAGCCACCCTTAATAAATGCCGAATTATACGATTTTAATAATCGTCAAAATCCTTTCGATCCAAATCAGGATCGTTTTAATTTAAATCAACGTTATTTGGATCGTCAACGTTTTCAGCAGGATCGACGTTATCAGATTGAATTGGAAAAATTAAGAAATCTCTTAGTTGAAACAGATCATCGGGGCTCGGTGGAATGTACAAATAATGTGGCAGCTCAATGGAATTTCGAAACTAATGTTAATGCCTTTACCCAAACGGAAGCGGTAAGTGATGTATCGTAAAATAAAAGCTTGAGAAATTCTCATAAAGCCATTGTTTCGTGTTTTGAAAGATGATTAAGTTTTGATTGAAGCTGCAATTAAAATAAAAGCATACAAGCGACCTTTTATTAGAAGAATGATTCATGGTTTATCTAATATTGCATGATAGCTGCAAGAAATCCTTTTTAAGAATTCCGAATAAAAAATTAAAAAGAAATTAAATCAGGCTTTTGAATTTCTTGACATCAAATGTCTACGTTAAATAGATAACTATATTAGTTATCCGCTTTGTTCCTTTCATATGCAAGCTATTACATGCTAGGGAGCTGATGTAATTATTTTATTATACCTCTGTGTCCTGGCTCATTGAATGGATCAATGAGGGCTGGCTGAAGAATTTCATCGGTTTTTATAAGTTTTCATTTAACTTGGTTTGCTGTTATGGACTCTTCCAATCTATAGAATCTGATATTCTGTGTATTCAAAGGGATGCCTCCGGCTAAATGGCGGATTAACTTTTTCCTACTAAAATAAACCAATAAAAGAAAATAACTAAATTTTTATTTAAATGAACTGAATGGTGGAAAATAAACTTAATTCTTGAGACTTTTATGTGACTATACATACATAAAACTTTAGATCGTTTAGAAACAACCGATTCCTCACACATTAAAATTTTAAGCACCCAAACTAAAATGTTATGGTACTGCACATAAAGTCAAGTTACGTAAAAGTAACTGGGATAAAACTTATTTTCCACCTTTTAGTTCAGGTAAATAAAAGCTCATTTAGAAAAATTTGGTTTTAATCAGTTGATAAGTTCAAGGGTAAATTCCACACCCTTTTGAACTTTATAAAATGATGAAGGTTTTGAATAACAAAACATTGTGATTAATCCCGCAAAATTTTGAGTGTCATAAAGAAGATTGTGAAGAAAATGTTGTGTATAATAAATAAAATAAATAAAGATAACGAATTAAGTAAGACTTCTTTCGACAACTTTTGGATTGAGAAAGTAGGTAGGAATAAAATTTAATTTTGTAAGGAAGTGACACAAGCACTTTTAATTTATGAAGCAAAATTGTAGTGTTCTACAAAAATGTACAATTGTAATGCGGTGGATGATGGCGAAAGAAATCGACATTTAAATATATCACCTTCATATTAAAGTCGATTTTCATCCTAATAAGGGGTCTGATTAAGTTTAGGTGATTATAATACACTTAAGAAAGCTATGCTTCGCTTTGGCTGAATCTTTTATGGTCAACGGCATGGTTCAAAAAAAAAAAAAAACTCAAAAAATCCAAAAAATTTAATATTTTATATTATATAAAAATGAAATATATGGTCCATTTTTATATACTGTTTAGCATCGCCCACTATAGGACTGCTCTTAGCTCGCTTTAGCCCTTTTTTTATACCAACACCTGCGAAACAACTTTCAACGGTTTTTTAAGGACAGAGCGGCACACTAATAGACGCAAACTATTAGATCGATTCAGATTTTAATGCTGATCAAGACTATGTGTGTATATTATTGATATCGGTATTTTATCGATATACCTTATTGTCCATCGCTAAGCTCCTTTTTTTCACATGTTTTATGTAGAATATGAATCTTATGCGGAAGTAACAAGAGTTTTTGAGGTTACCCGGGAAAGGCCATATGTTTTTGTGTCCCCAAAAGAAAGGTTGCCATTCCGAGGAAAGATCAAGTATCTACTGGAACGAGCATTAATCAGAAGAAGTAATGTCTGTTGAATTCAGTCGGAGGTGTAGCACTTGGATGCAAATAACGTTCCACGACCGGGGCTTGCCATGTAGTGCCCACTGCTATATGATATAAAAAGACCATATTAAAATACCATGTCCTTTGGCACATTAGTGGTACCCGATGATGGTTTTGTTTAGTTGCAGCAACACATAATACTCTTCATCAAGCAGATCAAAGAAAATTTGGTAGCTTGTGTAGTCAGCTTTCCCATTGATAATAATTGTCCGCCTAACCTTTGTGATGTTTACTTGTGCTTTGAAACGTCGCGCACCCAATGTTCATCAATCTGTACGATTGAATGGCATTGTCTTTTGAATTACGTACAAAAGAACGGCTTTCCATGCAAAGTGTTTTTTTAGATGAGAATTCATTTTATTTAAAGTTCTTAAAAAGCAATGTTTTCTCCATTTCAACGCTTATCTTATGTTATTGCGTAAAGCGTAGACTCTACTTTCAGATGAAAAGGATACAGTTTTATTAGCATTAGCTGCGCCATATTTTTGAAGACAACAAGAGCTTAATCGACATATCACTATGCATGTATATATATATATATTCAAATTCGCTTGAACACTTAATAGTATTTAAGGTGGTACAGGCTATGTCAGCCCTAAGAAAGGGAGAGAAAGAAAAAAGCCTGGACACATCAAGCACAGAGACAAATCCGTCGCCGGTAGAGATCCGAGTGGTGACTGTATCCCGAAGTCATTCCAAACATGCAAGAGCTTGGCAACCGATAATAGTAAACAAATTCAGTTAATTTTCTAATCATACTAAGTTATTAATTTTACAAGTGAAATTTAAATATGACATCACGCTTATTAAGAAGGGTTGATTTGATGGAAATTAAAGAATCCGGTATCGAGGTTAAAAGAGTAATCAATATTTAAGCGTAGAAAATTATGTGCAGGCGGTGTGGATTATTTCCCTTTTTTGTAGAAAAAACGAGAAAATTTCTATCATGTGTCTGTTTTCTTTTATAAGCGACGATCAACAACTCAAAAATCAGAGGTGCGCTCTGGACAGATCCTTTGTCCGATTTAGGCCATTTTCAACGTTAACCTATGCGTGAGAATCTCTAACGATTCTGCCAAATATAAGAGCGATTGCTTAATTTTTGCGGCCAGGAAGCGTTGGTGACCTACATTATAGTTCTGCATAAACTTTGATTTAGTTCACGGTTAAGAAACATTTAAACGTTTTGCGGTACTTATTATTTTGTTAAGCTCCTCAACGTATCTTTTCCCTAAATTTTGGATAAATTATTTTCTGACCGGGGGTTTTTCTCTATGAGGCTATGAGGGTTATCGATGCAAGATTCTTTAGTAAAACGAGAAGGGCTTGTTTTGACATCAGGATTATATTTGCAAATATATTTCTTTAGATTTTATTGTTAAGTTAACGTAAAGTGAAAAAAAATTTGGAAATGCAATATGCAATATGCAATAATCAAAATAATAAAGCTCAGGGTTCAAATGAGCCGCAAAGGATTACCCTGTTCCAACTAGGGTTACATAGGTGCAGATGTATAGGTAATAGCCTTAAGGACTAATGATATTCTTACCTTTTATTATACAAATCCAATCAGAATCGTTTGCTGAACAGCAGTAAATTTGAATCAGATATATTTATTGGATCTCAGCACATATAAGCCCCTGACTGTTCGAGTGTGAACGCTAGTCGCCAAACTGCGCACGTCGTACAAGCTGCTCGTGCAAGTCTGGTTACCCCTTCTATATTCTCCCCTACTGAAAACTCCACATCCGCGAACCCTACTGCTTCTAGTACAGATGAAAATTGCTTGAAGGCAGTTCCTCCAAGAAAGACAATATTTCTGTCAAGAATGGCACCTGATACATCTGTGGATAACATAAAAAGGTACCTGGCGGCGAAAGTTCCATCTGTCAATTTAAAGCGTGTTAGCATTTTCAAATCGGCTCCTTCTCAACCTAGAGCAATCTCGTCTTTTTAAATTCTAGTTCCGACTGAAAACGTGGATATGTTGTTAAACAAACCATTGCGGCTAATGCAGTAGCCCTTTCCTCTTCAAAAAACTAAATATTTCTTCAGGATCATTATCTTTTATTCATCAAAATGTTAGGGGCCTAAATTCAAAATATCGTTCTTCTTTTCTAAATTCAGTGAGTACGGTCCCCTCCTATTTAATTGAAGTTCCCACTACTCCGACGTGGAGTTCATCGCCCTTGGAGCGAAATTTCCCAATAGACACTTATATGTGACCTGAATTTTGAATGCTTTTTTAAGTTTGTTAACTCCAAAAGAAAAATCTCCATAAATCTCTCCCATGTTTCTTTTAACGGCTCTGAGTTCTCGAATGATATTGAAACCTCCAATCTCTTTGCTAAACGACGAAATTTTTCGATTACTGACTCCGATATATCAGTAAACTACCCGCATCTTATATCTATACTTATATCCTCTGCTGGCGAGCTGTGCGGTGTTATCTCAAAGATTTTTAACAAGTCCTTGAATTTAGGTGCTTTCCCTTTGTGTTGGAAGGCTTGTTTCCTTATTCCTATTCACAAAAGTGGAAGTAGGCAACTTGTAGAGAAATACAGAGGCATTGTCAAGTTGAGTGTCTTGCGCAAACTGTTCGAGCAAATTGTGACTCAGCATTTGGCTTTTGTCATCAAATCGTATATTTCTCCACTCCAACATGGATTTCGCAAAGGAAGACCTACGGTCACCAACTTTTTAGGGTTTACTTGTCATGCTTTCAAGACTTTTTCTAGTGGCTCTCGCACTGATCTTATATATACTGATTTAAGCAAGACATTTAATTTAGTTAATCATAACTTACTTATCTTTAAACTCCAAGCCCCTGGCTTCCTTTTCTATATAGTGAAATGGATAAGCTCTTATCTGCACAATATATCATTTAGGGTTTTGTTTAACTTCATTACCTCGGATCAATTCCCCGTGACGTCTGGCGTACCTCAAGGTAGCCACTTAAGACCCATCTTATTTAATTTATACTTTAATGATTTGCCCTCGGCGATTAAATCCAGCGAGATCTTAATGTATTCTGATGATGTGAAGCTGTTTTCTTCTTTCTCCGTACAATCGCAATCAAATCAGCTTGAAATTGACTTGAATAATGAATGAATCTTATGAATCTAAATCTAAATAAATGTAAGAAGCTTTCTTTCTCAAAGGTTAGACCTATGCTTGAGTATGTCTCTGTTGTGTGGTCTCCTTCATATAGGTGCTATGTAAATTCAATTGAATCTGTTCAAAAGCAATTCTTGTTGTTTGGCCATAGGGATTGCTTCTCTTCCCCTCTATGAAAACTGGTTGCTTCTATTATCCTTACCGCCACTTGAGAAAAGTAGATTTGTCCTTGGGGTGTCCCTCTTAATCAAAGTAATAAATGGTACTATTGACTCGCCTGCATTGCTTGGTCAGATAAGCTATAATGTTCCTAACCGCTTCTCTAGGCACTTCATCTTGATTAAGCTTAGTCAATGTAAATATAATTATAAGTTGTTTAACCCGTTCAGAGTTGTTTGCAGAAACCTGAATTAGTCTATCACTTCTCATTACCAGACCCATTAAAGTCTGCTAAAGCAACGTTGCTTAATATTCGCGATTGTCGTACTTAAACTAACATTTCATTCTTAATATTTCATTTTTTATTTAAAATAATGTTGTGTTATTAATGTGACGGTTGCCAAACTTATGCATGTTTGCAATGGTTCTGGGGTTCGCTTGCAACCTGCATCTGCCCTTGTTGCGGGTGTGCTTCTGTGCTAGCTGTGTACATGTTTTTTTTTTCTTTTTTTTCTCACTTTTTATTTTCGGCAAAGTGGTGTAAGTAGTTTTTCCTATCCGTAATGTTCTTACTTGCAATAAATTTTGGTTTATATTAATAGTTAATAAACGGCAAGCTAAACTTCAAATGAAGTCGGTTCACAAAATTATTTTCAGAAATGTAAAATTATGTGCCTTATGTCAAATCAAATATGTAATCAGTATTCTATTACTGAGTTGTAAGCCCAGTTTCTGATTCAGAAATTCTTCTTGTTTTGTTTTGAAAAAAGTACGCTTTGTTGTTGCTAAAAGATTGTTTTCAAACATTTAAAAAAATATTTTTCTCTAAATGCTTTGATTTTCAACTATTCATAGAGAGACTTTTCAAAGTGGGACGTCATATCGGAAGTGATCGAAAAAGTAGTCGGATCCGAACAGTGTAATAAGAAACGGATCCATCTCATGCCCCTCTTGATGTTGTATATATCCGCACAAATTTAATATGCGATTACACTACGGAATGTGTAGGGTATAACAAAATTGGGGATTTTGGGTTTTTATGCTTTCAAGTTGGTACTTTTATACAGCATCAGATTAATTGAAACGTCGATACAGTCAGTAAATTTAGCTTAGCGTTGACAATATTATTTTACTTTTTACTGCATTTAACCTTAAGCTTGATATATTTTCTTCGTTTGTTTTCTTACATATTCAACTCATTCTTGAAATGATATTCTGGATGCTTTCCATTGTCCATTATGCCCTTCACCAGTTGCGGCACTAGAGTTGAAATAGATCTACCTTTGTATATCCGTTTTATATTCTTATGGTCAGCCTACTTGATTCTTGAAATATTTTCATATTGTGATCCACCGATGTGTCTTGGCTTCAAGTCGATCGAGTAGTTCGGATTGGACCACTTTTTCGCCCACTTATAACGCTTTAATTTGAAAAGTATATGTAGGGTAGAATAGGACATTTAAGGATGGGCCGTTGCTTATTATAATAACTCTAATTGCTTCATGTATAAATTTTGTCATCATACAGAGTATCCTAGTGAACTTTCTCGTAAGACAGACTTTTCTCTATATAAAATATATTGATAATATTTTTATATATTTTCTTTCTCTACCTTAAAGTCAACAACCAACAGAGTGCTTTAGGCATTCCTAATCGTAGCCATTTGAGTTTATTCTAAGCGCACGACTTGCTTCCGAGTTGCTTGCAGAGCTGGATTAGACTAGACTACGTTAGGTTGGATAAGTCGAGATAAAGTAAAACTTACAAAGTTTTTTTTCTTTTTCTAAAAGAAAATTTTACTCGAAGACAGCGTTCATCCAAAATTTCCGACATTTTTCTGAATGTACATATTTCTTGCTTTTTTTTATTAAGCGAGATTCTCTTTTTAAAATAAAGAGTACTCCCAATAGTTTTTGCAACGAGGATAATCATCAGCTACTTGTTATTGTTTTGTCATGTGCCATGCACAGAGATAATCATTTGCGAAGTAGTTGCCCTTCTCAGAGCAGTGATCCGCGGGGAGCTTATGTGATCCCATTAAAGCTCGTTCTAATCTCTAAGTACTAAAAGATATAGAGAGGAAAAGGAATTTAATTTCATATAAACGTTTTTGTAATTTTCACAAAACACAGGCGCAAACCTAATGAATTCGTATTCAAACACGCTAGAGCGTGTTAAAAAAGTATTTTATTTAGCTTTTTCTGCAGCGATTCAAATTTTCTTATTATTTCAGCTTAATGCTCAACAGCGCTATGTGGAATACCAACGTTTAGTAGCTGAGCAATCGAAAAGTATTAATAAAAATTTAATACTCGATCGTAAATTATATCGTCAGCTTATGTTGCAATCAGAAGCGGGAGCTAATGCCTTACCTCTAGACACTTTAGACAGAGTAAGATATAATTAATTATACTTTTTTTTTCAAAAACTAACTTTTAACAATTACATATATTTCCTTACGGTGAGCAGTATAATCGCTTGATTAACGAAATGTTGTATATTTACAATGGAGCTACGATTTGCGGCTATCAGCAACCCTTTGCTTGTAATCTTCGTTATATTCCCGATTTAAAAGAAATCATGGCCAAAAGCCGTGATTGGGATGAGTTGCAGCATACATGGTTGGAATACCATCGGAAAGCGGGTCGAGAAATGCGTGATGGCTACGAGCAATTAATTGATGTCATGAATGAAGTGGCATATGTCAATAGTAAGTGGTAATGAAATTTTTAAAAAAGAAAATGGGAAATAATTCCCAACACTTTTATAGATGTTACTAATGCTGGCGAATATTGGTATTTGCCTTATGAATCGGGTAACTTTCGTCAAGATGTTGATATTGCTTGGGAGCAAATTAGACCTTTGTACGACGGCTTACACGCTTATGTCCGTCGTAAGTTGCGCGAATACTATGGGCCGGAAAGGATAAATCGTATAGCGCCTTTGCCTTCGCATATTTTGGGCAACATGTATGCTCAATCATGGTCGAATATATTGGACATTATAATACCGTATCCAGGAAAGAAATTGATAGATATTACTCCCAGAATGCTCGAGCAACGTTATACGCCGTTGTTAATGTTTCAGTTGGCCGAGGAGTTTTTTACTTCGATTAATATGAGCGCTGTTGGACCGGAATTCTATCAGAACTCTATATTTGAACAACCCGTAGATAGGAGAGCTCTTTGCGAACCCTCGGCTTGGGATTTCTGCAATCGCCATGACTTTAGGGTTAAAGTGTGTGCGGACATTAATCAGAAAAGTATGATTAGTGTACATCATGAAATGGCTCATATACAGTACTTTTTACAGTATCGCCATTTACCCAAAGTCTTTAGAAATGGAGCTAATCCGGGTACGGATAGGTATTAAGATATTTTTATTATGATTTTTTAACAAACTCCTCTTTGCTTTGCAGCTTTCCATCAAGCCATTGGTGACGCAGTTGGACTATCAGTTTCCACTCCCAAGCACTTTCAAACACTAGGCTTACTTCAACGTTCTGTCGATGAAAGCAGTTATGATATCAATTATCTATTTTCAATGGCAATTGATAAAGTAGCATTTCTGCCGTTCGCTTTAGCTTTGGACAATTGGCGTTACGATATTTTCAGTGGTAACGCTAACAAGCATATGATGAATTGCCATTATTGGAATTTAAGGTAAACAAATGCATTTTAAATAGAAAACATCTTTCATAATAATATCACAAATATCACTTCAGAGAGAAGTACAGTGGCACTAAACCACCTGTGCTACGTTCTGAGAAAGATTTCGATCCTGGAGCCAAATATCATGTGCCAGCTAATATACCATATATCAAGTAAGTCCAAAACTACTTCTAATTTATATGTATTGATTAAGATCCTTCTTCCTGATTATAAGTGGTCGAGGAAATAAAGAGGATAAAAAAAAACTAGTATTAACGAAATATATATGTGCATATATATACATTAAATTTGCTTATGGTCAGCTGGCTGCATATGTAAATTGAGTGGACTTTTTTTATCGTGAAGCCAGAAATGTCGAACTATTTTTTTATAGACAATTTTTAATTTGTTATGTTTCTCTGTTTTTTTACCAAAGACTTTTTACTTTTTGGGTTATTTTTTACAAACTTAGATTAAAAGTATTCCAGAGCTAATTTTAAATACCCGTTTTATTAGTGCATTCAGTTTTACACCTATATTAGTGTATTGCATAAATGCTGAAAGAGGAGTATAGTTGGAAGAAATGTGAGACGCTATCGACCAGACTAACAAGCGTGTAATTGAAAGTTAATTGTAAACGTGTTGTGCGCGTAATCCAATGTTTTGAAATTCGCGTTTAAATATTTTTTCAATTGATTATGAGATTTTTATCATTTTAACATAAGTTTTTTTTGTACAAAATTATTTCATTTTAAATTTTTGTACACTTAGTTGAAATAATTTCTCTAATTTCTGTATACGTACGAATATAAGTGAGACTAAGGCAATTGACATTTTTATTATCTTAAGCCGCTATTGGTAAGACTACAATCAATTTGAGTGGATATATGTAATAGCTAGAAGCATTTGAAATAGTCACATGTTGGTTAATGTGTGTCCACGTCATCCGCGGCAACTTTCGAGAAATTTCGATCGAATTTCATAGACTCACTATATCTCTCCCCTATTCGTATGGCATAGTGAAAGTCAGAAAATGTTAAAAACCATATATTTTTGGCCTATTAGATATTAATGTTTTATGGCATCCCCTTATGCGTTGATGTCCAACAAATAAAATTAAATGGTGGACGTTTGGTAAAGTTAATTTCCTTGTGAAATTATTGATAAAGAACAAGTTGCAGTGCTAGAGATTGAATATTAGGCCTTTCCGCCATACACAGATCGTAGGAACGAACAGTTTTCACACCAAATTAAAATATCGAATGACTAGTACTTATATTTGTCGCGAAATTCTACGTATCGTCATATTTTTTCGTATCACGACTTCTCAAAACAAGGCGTTATGGGGTTATCTTTGAACCAGAGCTCAAAAACTGAACTGAAATATCTTAGGTGGAACACGTCAAAATAAGACCAATAGGCGAACAGACGGACAGATAAGTGTAGTAGCCTTCATGTTGAATCACTTTCGGAATCGATAAAAATAGTAAAAGGTGGGTCTAAACTAAGTCCTTCTATGAGTTATGTACATCCACACAAACTTAATATACCCTTGTGCCGTAAGCGATTTCTTGATGATTGAAAAACTTCTGCGCGTATAATAATACAAATTTTTGCGCAACTAAGCCAATGTGACAACTCAGTGGAAAAGTACAGTTGGCCAGAAACGTGTGCACTTCAGGAGCGTCAGTTTGACTTTGGCATAGCCAGCTGGCTGATAAATTCTGTATTTGGATGAAGTGATTTAAGTTTCGTTATATGTTTTGATCAAAAAAATCTTCTTTATTCGCAGTCTTTTCGCCAATTCACGAGACTGCTTTTAAATATGTGACAAAAATTTTTTATTTCTATTTCAACTGAGTGATGAAAAATATTTAAAAAAAAAAAATTGTTTTTAATCTGATGTTATGAATTTTTTTAAATTTTCTCTTATATTGGTTTCTTGGTTAAACATCCAATATGCAAATCTCTTCTTTTTATAAGTTAAGTTTGAATTTTTTAAAAATTTATTACCTTATGTGTATGTTTTGGCACATGATTGCTAATGTGGTTTTTATATCTTTAGTCATTAAAGCATGCATAGATAGTTTTTGTTTTTCCTTTTTGTTTGGCGTTTCTATAACATATTTAGTCATTTAGGTATTTCTTTAAAGGCATTTCATTTTCTCTCCTAGGTTTTCGCACTTAGTATGCATTCCGTTTACCTGCATTTTCTAATTTTTTGCACTTTGTAGTGTACTGGGCTATCACCAGTCATGCACATACGCATTGACATGGTTTTGAAAGTAGAAATTAAATTTCTAACCAAAAAGTGTTCGCTAAGGTTACGCTAGACTTGCGATCAATTGGGACATCCTTAGCGAAAACAAATTTTATGTTCCTGAACTCTGAATTGGTTTGATAACTATCGTTCTACTTTGTATACTATCTAAGATAATCAAATATGTGTTTTAAGTTTAGAGTTTGTCCGGTATGGAGAGGTAATCAGGATATGGTAAAGGATTTAAAAATGTCGTAGGCATTATAGATATTTTAAACTGAAACTTAAAAGACGGATATTGTCTTTAATCCAAACTTTTGTGGTTCATTAGCCGTGATTATTAGCCACATGCATTAGATACTTACAGAAACAAAAAAAAAAGACAACAAAATATGTATGTTATTGTTGTAAATAAATAAAAAAATGAAATAAACGTAGAGCGAAGTTTAGGATCGAAACAAAGTTTAATTTAAACTCAAACACTACAGAAAAAATGTAGGAAAGTTTTTTTTCGTGCTGTCTTTTTAATCCGATTTTGAACGATAACGAGTATACTTTTTTACACCATTTTTTCATTCTAGCAGGAATCCCAAAAAAAATTTTTAATTAAAATTTTTTTTTGACTTTGTCTGCTACCCAAAAAACCAAAATTTTTTGATTCCATTTGCGCACTTCATTATTCAGTATTTATTTCGTGTTAGATTGTCCAGATCTTGCTATGCAATAAATAATTTCAATATAGTTCGGAAAGTTAATGTTCATTTTTGATGCTCCAGTCCGTAGTAAAAGGGCACGCTTGTTGTCATTTTTCAATTTAACTTCAATTTAAATTTTTATATATTGGACTTATGGACTGAAATTTTTTTTGCTTGTAACGAAAAGGAATTGTTGTTGTGTTATAAATACATAGTTACTTTTTTCGCATGTTTTTTTGGAAAAGTATTTGGACTTTTTTCATTTTACCTGATTTTTTAAGATTGTGAAATATATGTACAAGTTTACCATAAGTCGAATGTATTTTTACACTGTTTTTTTGCATGGTTTTTCTAAGGAAAGCATCTGCCGTATTCAAAAAACATTTACTTAAGTTTTTTTTACATGGAATCTTGTATTATATATATATAATTCGCCTAAGTGGTCGAGCAGGCAAAGGATCTACCAACTCAATGGTTGTGGATCAATTTTCAACTGCGGTATAGTTTTCAATACTTTAACCGTCGGTTGTATTTCTTATAATAACGATAATAATAGTAATTAATAATGATAATAATAATAATTGTTATTTCTTTAAATATATATGTATATAACTTTCCTTACAATCAAATTTTGTTAAGAATTGTCTTTTTAAATAAATGGTTCCGTTAAGAACAGAAAACAATGTAAAAATTGTACATTGTTATCATAGTCGCGCCCAGGTTGACCGTACGTCATCTCGCATTATACAATTATTCTTCCATTTTCGTGATATGCAACAATGACTATATGGCACAGTTTTCTTGCAAAGGCATACTTTTCATTAAAGCCTTCATAATGCAGGGTACCAACAACGTCAATTTTCGTAGTCAAACTTAATTTACTTGTTAAAGATTTTAAGATTTGTTGAGTCTAAGGAATAGATTTATATGATCTACATATGGTACCGCTCATTTTTATGTCGAACTGCTACCAAGAGCCAACTTTCGTCATAACATTAATTTTTAATAAAATTAAACCGTTTTTCCAAAGGCCAAATGACGTCTAAAAAAAAGACCCAATCGGCTGAAGTTTTATAAATTTAATTTTTTGTCAAATCAGTATTATGGAAAAATTGTCATCATAAAATATTAAAAATTAGATCTTGTTGCGGTAGTGTCCAAAGAAAGGATCTACATGATCCAAGCTTGATATATGTAGGTCTAGTTTTAAATTACTCTCATGACTCACGTGAGAAGCGTTATATAAAGTGCGGTTTAAAAAGTAAACTTACGGGGTCCATATTACCTGTCATTAATTTTTATGTTAAGTTGCTATTATTAATCAATTTACGTCACAAAATATTAAAAATTAAACTTTTTTGTTAAATAAAAGTTAGCGCGCTTCTATGAAATGAGGTCCAAAAGATAGATCTACGTGGTTCAAATTTGGTATAACTAATTTTTGTGTCAAATTACTCTCACGTACAAGTATAAATGTTGGCAACGTACCAAGTCTGTTGCAAAGTTTATTTAATTATTAATTAGGTGTGATTGCAACAAGTCAAGTAGCACTAGAAAGAATTTAATTATTGAAAGCATGTTAGGTGAGTAAAGTATGCTGAATAGTATGCCTTCATTAACGAAAACGAAATACTTGAGAGGTTTTGATTTGTTTAAAAAGTTTTTAAAGTTTGGCGCAATTTAAAGAATAAAAAGTAAACAATCATTTCTGGATAGTTTTCGTTTAAACTACTTTGAATCTTGTACGCCGCGTGGGAAAAATGTTCCGTTTTCGTTCTCTATAAATAATCCAAATTGTTAAATAAGTTTAAATTTTTTTTGTTGGCATAAGGTTTTAATTTCATACCTCTAATATAGATTGTATTAAGTAATAGTTCATCCGCTCTTCTTCTTTCTTTTAAGAAATGAAATCATTCTCGCGTTTTATCGTTACATAATTTTATTTATCCATGTTTTTCAATTTTTTTTGTCTTTAAGTACAATAAGTATAATTACAAACATACATAAATTTCTATAAAACAGGATAATTTTTGGTAAAAAACAAGAAAGTGTAAGTGTGTGTAATGCTTTGCAAAGAGAAAAAAAATTTAAAGGAAATGAACCAAAATGACACAATATTCGATAATTTTCCCTAGATATCTTATTGCTTGCCTCTCTAATTACTCGAGTAGACAAACTAAAATAATATACAAGATAGCAGAGTGAAGCTTAAGTAAAAAATCTCTTTTTATGATGTATTTATCATCAAATTATTTTAAAAAAATAAGAAAAAAACTATACGTACACATGCTTTTTATATCTAAAATAAGATAAAAAATAAGATCACACTGAACGGCACAAGATTGAAAACTACAATGCACTCTCTTCTTACTCAGGCTCGGTTCTTTCCTTCGTCTGTATTCTGCGTTGTGAGGAAGAGGCGGAGCTTAACCATAAGATGTTTTCAACGGCTAACCAACGAAACAGAAGGAGGAGGAAGAGCAGATTTTGTGGAGTAGAATAGTTTTTGTTGTCGCTTTAATCTCTGTAAAAGTGCCAAAAATATATTTTTAAATAGTTAAAAATTAATTTTACAAACCTATACGAGTTGACATTTAATTTAAAATTATGGCTTAAAAAACTATGAAAACAATTCATTGAGTATTGAGTATTTTAAGATTAAATCTATTGTAACTTGGTTTCAATGGTCGATTGTTAATTTTTTGTTTGTTTTTAGAGTTAAAAAGGGACAATTAACAAAAGCATTTTGTTAACATAATCCAAAGGCCAACATAGTAAACTATTATTTAACAATTCCTATAATTAAAAAAAACATAATTTCTGCCTGTAATCATTATTGCATTCGGTTATCACTATAGCAACGTAATCAATTCATAAGCCCTTATGCGAAAATATCCCGAAACGTCAAAAAATCATGATTCGTTATAACCTTTAAATATGTGAAAGTGTGTTCATATATTGTGCGCTCTCATTTTTGTTCTCCCAGTGTTAATCTCCGGTCTCTCTAATCACGCTCTCATCATTAACATTGTGTAACAAGTAAACTGATGAACTCAGATTCTTCATGATGTTGTGGTAACGATTATAAGGTGGGGAGAGAAGAAAGAGAAAAACAAGAGAAAACGTCACAAATTAACATATAATAATTTAGTGATGATCATAATAACTATAATGGTCATCCGCCTCATGTAATCCTTCATGGAGAGAAGATTCATGATGGAACGAGGCTTCTTCAATATGATGATATTCTTCGCCATGACCACCATCGCCACCACCGCCGCCACCACTGCTGTGAGATTCTTCAATATGCTTGTGAATGAATTCGGGTTCTTTATAGGTGATGTGCTTTTCATGATATTCGGGCACATGTTTTTCAATATGAACGGGAACTGGTTTCTCAACGGGCACTTTTACTGGGTAAGGTACATGTTTTTCCACCTTAACTGGCACTTCTTTGACTACAGGATAAGGGGCAGGCACATGTACTTTGACTTCATATGGTACCGGTTTTTCAACATGCACAGGCACAGGACGATCGTAGGGCACATGAACAGGAACTGGAACTTTCTTAATTACTGGCACTGCTACAGGTTTCTCAACATGATAGGGAACCGGCTTATCAACATGATAAGGTACTGGTTTCTCTACGGGGACCTTGACAGGATAGTGTACCACCTTCTCAACTGGATAGGGTTTGTCAACGTGTACGTGCACTTTTACCGGTACATGGACTTTCTTTTCAACGGGATAAGGAGCGGGTACATGAACTTTAACAGGGACATGTACTTTCTTCTCGACCGGATAAGGGGCGGGCACATAAACCTTTACGGGCACAGGACGGTCGTAAGGTACGTGAACTGGATAGGGAACTTTCTTTTCCACTGGATAAGGGGCCGGAATTTCATGTGGAACTTTAACGATTTCTTTAACCTCATAAGGTACATGCTTAACCACTGGATAAGGTTTTGGCACTTTCACCTTGATGGGTACGGGTATATGCTTTTCAACAGGCACTGCAATGTGTTTCTCTACTGGATAAGGTACGGGTACTTTCTTGATAATCGTCAAAGTTTTCTCTTCATGCGAAGGAAAATGATGTTCGTAGTGATGATGGTCTTCGAAATGATGTAAGCCACGTTTGGTTTTAGCAGTTTCATCATCACCAGCCGAAGCTGCAGAAGCTGCTGAGTCTTTCACATCTGCGGTTTTAGGCTCTACCGTTTTTTCATCAGCCCCCGTCGCTTGCTTGTCGTTTTCAGCACGCACCTGAGTAGTGGCCAATAGGAACACTACCGCGAGCAGATGAGCTGTTCGCTGAGAAAAAAAATAAATAAAAAATAAGAAATAGACATTAAAACAAAAACATGTACATTAGAAGTCAAAGCAAGTGAAACTATTTTGAGTTTACGTATATTAATAAATTTGTTAGAGGTTACCGTGATTCAAAATGTTGTTTTTTCTATTTAAAAAGGTTCGCTTCAAAAAATTAGGCTTAATTTGCCAAGCAAAGGCCGTTAATAGAGTTTTTATCTTGATTCATTTCCTGAGAGTTTAATAGTTGAGAGGTAATAGGTCCTGATGTATAGGTTCCACACATCAGCGGTTCTTGCTTTAATTTAAATATTCATAAAAAGCAAGCGAACAATTATATAAGAATATTAAAATCCGACAAGGGAGAGTGCCATTGTGAAAAGCTAAAACGCTTTAAAGTCTCTCCTTAACTTATAATAGGGATAGAAATAGAAAGTAGAGAAAGGACGAAAAATTGGTGTTCGTTAAGAAGGCGTTTTAATGTCATTTCTGTATTTATAAGAGGCATTAGAATGGAAAGTAAAAGAACGACGAAGAATGGTTGAAAAAATAAGCTCTAATATGACTCCGCTAGTTGAAATAGTAATGAAAGTAAGTAGTGGAAGAAGTATTATGGCGAGTTTCTGAAAGGGGAAAAGTGGAAACAACAATCAGCGGTTAGATGGTTCTTAACAAAGAAGGAGAACAAAGTGAAAGTAACCTCGGTTGCAAGTGAAATTTATGCTATGTTCGTGTTATATGCACAACGTCTTTTTAACATCTTTGTCTCGCGGGCAGTAAAGTAGAATTTGAACTGAAAGGTGAAGCACAAATCTTAGATTTTGAAAGCGAAGGTTTACTTAAGATTTTTTCCTTTTTTTCTTGTAAAAATGTGAATAAAAAGCGAAGCTAAGGAGGGTTTTATTTGGGATTTAGTTGACTGCGGTTTATGCTTATTTAGTGAACAATAAATTCGCAAAAACAAAAAGGAAAAAATGTATAAACATTGGTTTTAGCAAAGCGGTTTGAAGAAGTTTTATTAGTTGTGATATAAATGGAACTTAGAGCAAAAGAGACCCTTAGGTATATAAAGAAACATCAAACGGTGACGGTTTTAGTTATGATCAATAGCTTATTTCACTTATACAAGGAATGAAATACTTCAACGAAAGAGAAAAGTAGAAAAACGTTTTAATTGATCGATTTGAATTTTCTTGGTTTGCTCGAATTTGCTAGCATATAAATAAAAATTGGGAATGGGGCAGTTAAAATAAAAGTACTTAGAAGAAGAAACATAGGGCTTAAGCCGTAAGGACATTTTTTTTCAGGGAAGAGTAACCTTTATATAGGATGAAACGTTTTGACTTTCGTAGCTCAATATGAAAGTAAGGACTTTCGGAAGTGTACGCAAAAAATTAAATTTGGGGTATTGATACATCCGCTCAGGTTTTATAAAATAAATTCGTAAAAATTAACAGGAAGTTTTTTGGTTAAATGCGAGATTTAAAGTGATCCTGTTGCTTGAGTGCCAAGGATGCTCGCTTGTGACAACCTATGTAATTTTTGGCACGTAAAGAGCATTGTGACTAATAAGAAAGATAACGTTGGTATATGCCAGAAATTAATCAGAATTCGGAATAAATTCGGTTCATAGAATGCAATGATTGCAAAAATTGTATATCTTATACTTCTTAGATTATTTTTATTTAGCCCTATATATTTAAAGGAAGTAGAATTATTTTTACACTATTAAAAAAAGGCAGAGCCTATGTTTAGTCGTTTCCTTGCATAGGATATGTCTTGAAACTTTCAACGATATTTTTTACAAAATTTGAAAAATCCATTCATTTGGCGTCAGTATCACCGACTAAATGAAAAGGGCTTAATAGAATGTTCGGCATGCCATTTTTGTTTTAATTCCGTATTAGTTTTTAATCCAAAAAATTTCCATCACTTTTGCAATTATTTCACATCTATTAAACATTTCCGGTTTTTTTGCTCTCTTTTTCACTTTCGTTACATTTTTCTTCAATTGGTAATCCTTTACACGCAACACATACATACACACGCACACACATGCAGTCATATATATGCGATTTTTTCTTACTCACCATTATTTTCATTTCTACTTTTTTGTTAATTTATGTTAACTACGGAAAAAAAATTATAATCCTTTTTTTTTGTAATGATTGTAAATAAAAATGACGTAACACACTAAGCAAGTGTTTTCAAAGAAATCCACAAATCCTGGTTGGGTCAGCTATTGAAAACAAAAAGAAACGAAAGACTTAAACAACGAACTTGTATTTAAAGTGTTTACTTATTAAAATTATTTTCTTTTAAATTTTACTTTATATTTTTTTAAGTAAACACACTGGTTGTTTTTTTTTTTTTTTTTTTTTTGATTTTATATCGTTTGTTTACTGTGTTTAAAAAAAAACATAAAAAAATCAACTTTACTTTATTTTGTCCGCGCCGCACGTATAAACGTAAGGAAACGCGTCTTAAGTCAACTCTTGAAGCTGTGCTAAGCCGCTATTGTTGTGTATAGCTGTGCACAGTTAACGATTAAGTGATATGAAATGTTTGCCTGGCTGCTACTTTTATACCACTACCAAAAATGTTCATTGGCTGCAGAAAATAACAAAAAGAAGAAAAAAAAGAAAAAAAAGAGTAAAACAAAAAGTTAAAGAAAAAACCAAAACAAAAAAAACACCTAATAGCTAAATGCACAACATTACAAATCCATACGTTGGCAGATATACCTATATTAAATAAAACCGAAGTAATAATAATAATAATAATAATAATAATAACAACAATCGCAACAGCGGTAAGATACAAGTAATGCAGTGGGTAAAAAGAAAATTAACAGTATAAAGCTGTTAGACCGGGCCTTCTTCTTCTCTATGACAAAGCATAGTTTAGCGTAGTAAATCTTACAAAATTGGTTTGCTAGTGCAAGCATACAGTTTTGTGTGTAACATGTTGCTCGTTTTTCTGCATTTGTTGGTGTAATTTAAATGTGAAACAAACGTCCCTGACGGCACCGTGCCGTTAAAGCAACATTTTACGTTTTTTACTCGAAAACCACGTATGTATAGAAACAATAACAAAATCGTTTAAAACAAAAACCAATAGAAAATCATCAAAAGTAAATTATAACAGCATAAAATGTTGCAAGTTACAAATTACAGCAACTGTAACTGGTGCAAACTTGTAATTACTATTGCCTTCGTTAATCAGCCATCGTCATCATCATAATCATCGCAATCATCATCATCGTCACCATCGTCATCATCACCGTCACTAGTTAAGTTAAGTTAGTTAACTTGACGTTAGCTTTGTTTGTGCTCTTTAATTGAATTATAAGAATTGGCTTAAAAGCGTAATAATTACAATAATTTGTTGTTTGTATTTTAGATTATTTGTTATTATTATTATCATTAGGGTTATTGCTTAAGTTTCGCTATATAAAATTATGGCAACACTTGCATTCATTTTTCTTTCTAAGTTTTTTTTCCACGTCACCTGTACTTTATGAAAAGAGAACAAATAAGAAAATAATATTCGACTGTGGCCGAATCTTTTATCTTGAAACCAAAAAAGAAAAAACAAAATATAAAAATAAAACTTCGATACTATATTATTAGATGGGCGTGGCTGACCTTACCCTACAGTACAAGCACTAAAAACCTTAATAATTTTAGTTGATGATTTTTAGTATACATTATAATGGAGGTGCGTCCTCCGATTGATCTGATTTATATGCAAGAACTTTCAATATCTCAGCAAAATTTGAGGCCGATGTCTTATTTTCTGCGATCAGGAGAATGCTTACCGCACACAGACAGGCAGACGGACAAACGTGCCTGGAATGTGCATATCTTATGCGGTCTTTAAATCTCGCTTCTGGGAATTGCAAACGTTTTGAAAAACTGAGTATGCTCTACACCTTTCGGTGTTGGGTACGATAAATTAGGTTTTTAAGATAGACAATTATAGTTTAAAGCAACAACAAAAAACAACAACAGAAAAAAGAAATTGTAATTGTAGTCTTTAAGATTGTTATAAAAAACAACAGAAATTAAGTAACTGGGTCAAGTTTCAATATAAATGCATTAATGTTTTTTGACAAAAAAAAAAAACAATTTTTTTTTCACTATGCTCTACTACTACGCAATTACATTTAATTATTTGAAATTTTTTATTCATATATTAAATTGTAACTCATTTGGGCTTTTAATTTGCCAACTGATTAAAACGAGCAAATATAAAGCCTAGATCCTTTAAGTATGAGCTTTAATTTTGTTAGTAAAGCCAAGAAAGAAATACATTTTTTTCGGCATGGGCTGAGTTTTTTAGAATATGTTACAAGCTAGCGTATAATTTTGTAGGGCATTTGATTGTATGATGGAACAATGGTACATTCTTTCATATAGGATATCGCATTATTAACATAAACAGATAGTAGATTATCAGATTTAACAGCGGTTGGATTAAATTTTAATGTACTATAATAGAAGGTAGGCGGGGTCATTTTTTTCCATTTTCGTGCACACAGCATCGCCCACAGAATATGCGATAAAAGTTTTGTGCATTTAATTGCTATAGTTTATGAGCAACGAGCAACAAGCCAATTTTTCGTTACTTTTGAAAACGAGACCTATTCTCTGGTTACATGGTCCTGTGGGCGTGTGCTTCGGCTGATTTCCAATGCCGACCTGTTTGCAAGAACTTCCAATGCTTCTGCTAAATTTGAGATCGATAGCTTCACTTTTGCGTCTAGGGGAATGCTTACAGTAGACATTATATAAAGGGACGGACGGGCATGCTTAAATCGTTTCCGAAACCCATTGTTGAACACGCGTAATGCTGCATGGATAGAATATATTAGCGCAGAATTTCTCATGGATGCCAAACTCGTCCCTACCGATCTAAACGAAAAAAAATAATAATACAAACAATTTAATGATTTCACATTATTTGCGAAGTTTAAGTAAGAAATTCACTTTATTTCCTGTTCACAATATTAAACTACGCTTACTTAGTAAATCATTCTGTACGTTGCGTACCTTGTTTTACACATCACATATTCTATTTTATTTATATATATATTCTCTTCTATTTATAGTAATACGGTACAGTACTATATAACTTATTATATGTATTGGGGTGTTCCAAAATGTTGGTCATTATTTCACTTGCAAACGGCAGTTATTGAGACGAATTGGTACAATGTATATTATTCAAAATTTTTGCCAGTATTTTTTACAACTTTTTCCCACCTTTTTGCCAACATGTCGATGCCGTGTCGAAAGAACGATATTGGCTTGGATCCTCCTTCCACCGATCTAACAATAGGTTAACAGGAGGCGCCATGTCTGGTTAGTGCCCCGGGGGTTGACAGGGCGTTCCTTTCGACCTGCAACAATGCATCTTGGATAACTCTTGCAACAAGGGGCCAAAAAATGACATTTTCAGTCAATTTGTGTCGTCACCATTAAACGGTTCATCCCAAAACCGACTATTGGGATATGATGGATCAGCATCACCATAAGTTTCTAAACATGGTTGGTGGGCGTCGGCAGCAGATTTCTTCAAATAAACAGTAAAAAAGATGAATTTGGAAGAAGAAGAATTTTGAGCGCCGCATATAATATTAAACGCGAAACTCTTATTTTACTTTGCAGAAAGGCCAAAATCATCGCACTTGATTGTTATGTACTATGGTATTTCCCATTTATACATCATTTTTACCTTTTATTTGTCTATTGTGCTTTATGCGTAATGGGTAAAAAACACCAAACGTCGAGATGTTCTCAATTTATATTGTAGTGTGAGTATATCCTGTTACTGATTTGGCCCATTTTTAATATCAACTCGCGTGCAACGACTTCCAATGTTTTCGCCAAATTATTTCTTTGACTTTCATTTTTGCGATCAAGGCCACGCTTTGAGCAGTGTACAGCCCGAGAGACAGACAAACCTGTGGACCTTCAGTTTAAGTGTCCCCGAGACCTTACAAAGTATATATATATTCTTGATCAGCATCAAATTTTAATTCGATTTTAGCGTATCTCTCCGTCCGCCCACCTGTGTGTCCATCTGCTCGCTTGTAATGCCTGTTGTAAGCATTGTCTTGCCTCCAAAAATGAAGCTATCGACTTTAAATTTGATAGAAAAATTGGAAGTTTTTGCACGCAGGTTGGTATTGAAAATGGAGCAAATCGGTTTCAGTGCTAAGTAAAGTGAGGACACATCTGTTTTTCAAAAGAAATAAATAATTGGTTTTTAGCTCATTACTCATAAACTATAGCAGATAAATCTACAAAAATTTGATCGAGTATTTCATAGGCGAAGCTGTAGTGCATCTACTTCAATGGAAAGAATTGGTCACGTCTGCTCAATCTTATAGTGTCTCATAATTTCAATGTTTTTCACAAACTTTATAACGCCCAGAAGGAAGCTTCAAAAACACCATAAACTATATAAATTCTCGGTCAATTCTAAATTCATATGTTCATTTGTCCATCTGCGCAACTGTGTAGTTGTTATGGTAAACATTTTCCCGTTCGCAAAAATGGAGATATCGTGCGCACCCAATATTGTAGAATAAGAACAGTTAGTTCTTTTCTTTTTTATAATTTTCTTACTTCTTTATTTTTGAAAACAGAGGTGGTATGAGGTTATTTTACGTGTCCTTTGAGCAACTTGGCCTGATTTTAGTATCAAACCGTGTGCAGGTACTTCCGATAATTGCTGCAATTTTCATGGCGATAGCTTTGGTTCTGCGACCCAGAGATTGTTTACCACGAACATACCTTAGAGGGACAGTTAGATAGATGAACAGATAGAAATCCTTAAGACGCTTTAGAATGATGTTGATCAAATATATATATTCTTCAGTCTGCACTGCTACCTCAAAAACTGTATAAAACTCTCACTTATTTTGCTTTGAGAAGATACTTGCGTAACGTTTTGTTGTTTATAACTTAGATTAATTTTCTGAAAGTCTTGTTCCCCCACTCAATTAGTTGGTCCGCATCTGAAAACCTTTCAATTTTTGTTTTTTAAATAATGACAGTTAAAAGCTGGCAATTCAAAAATTACAATTTCCTTTACATGGTATGTTAGTAATTGTGATATTTATGCATCTCCTTATTCAAGTCTTTTAAGTACTTGACTGAGAATTTTTATAGGGAATAATTAAAGATTATATTTGAATGCTCGCAAATAAAATCTTAAATTCACATTTCAAAAGATTTTATTCATTTTATTATATTGTGTGTGTTTGTGTGTGTGCGTATAATATATGTAATTATCCATTATAGATGCTTATTTTTGGCCAATTAGCTTTTTTGGCTAATTGGGTTTGTTGTTAATTACCCTTTTTTTAGTTTGGAAATATTTTGAACTTAAAAAAAGTGTTCGCCTTTGTTTTTCAAAGTAAAGTTTACATATCACATCGTGATTCAGGCAGACAAAACGGCAGGTAGCCAGACATAAAGGCAGGAAGGCAAGAAAGCAGCGTGGTAGACGCTGAACCGGTTACACTATTTACGCTGATCAGGATAACTTATGATGCGTCCGATGCCTATTTCAACAAAATCGAAACATTTAACTTAACTCTGGTGGTTCATACATTTAAATTGTTGTAAAAAAAAGAAGAAAAATGTATAAAAACTAGGCAACTAGCTTTTGCTTGATCAATAATTATGTAAAATCGATCAATTATAAATCATTATATAATTTCACTGGATCG